CAAAACGTTTCAGCTTTTCAGCTTATTCCATTTCGAGTTATTTAATTTTTAAGTTTTAAAATAGATACGCCCTTTGATAAGCTTACAATAAAACGGCTCTAAAACCGTTAGTTTTTCACTAAAACTGTTGAAGCTTTCATAAATGACATGGTTTTGATTGGCACGTGTATGCAGCACCTACAGTCAGCTTGAGAAATCTTTTTTCTTTTCATCAACGAAATTAGACTACAAAACCAGGTCATTTATGAAAGTTCAACAGTTTTAGTGAAAAACTAACGATTTTGGAAGCAACTACAAGCCGTTGTGTGGGTATTTCTGGCATACTTAAAAAGTAGTTACCATAAAGTTAAAGAACTAATAGTTACCGTTATTTCAACGGTTACTGGAAACGCAGTTTCACGCTGACTGAAAAGACAGTTATTATTGCCTTAACGGTAACTAAAAGAATAGTTAGCGGTAAATCAGCGTAACGGGAACTTTTAGTAGACAACAGGGTATTAAACGTCGATCAGAAGATGTGGACTATGAATGGTGGTCTTGGTGGTCTGGTGTAACTGAGTTGACGGGAAAATATATAGAAAGTAAAGCAAAAAGCATGTATCGTAAGGATAAACCTATAATTTGTAGCAGTTGCCATTATAATTTGACAACAAAATGGGATGGACATTGTTTAAAATATGGGAATATAAACCTATATGACGACTGACGAACAACCATCCAACAACTATCTGACCGAATATCCAATATAATCTGACTAATGAAGAAGATCAAGTGTCGAATATTGGTCGCTCTGATCTATTCAACAGAGAATATCGTTTTCCTTTATTAAACAAGTCAAAAGATGAAACTCTAATAACTAAAAGGCTGTTTACTACTGAACGATGATCTGTACGCGTAATGATGAAAATAAAAGATTCAATTAAAAAAATATGTAATCGTTTAAATGAAAAAGATATTGCTGTATGACATGTTCAAACTCGAAAAACAAATATGACTGATCAAGTTGTGTTTACACTGCGCAGTGATTGTAAGATTGAAATGTGTACTAATACATGGATCAAAATGGTAGAACTACTCCACAAATATTCGCTAATACCGTCTAATATATTAAATAAATACTTTCGTTCACTTCATAGTTGTGAAGCACCGGGTGCCCTTATCTGTGCTACGAATCATAAACTCCGTCAACTCTATGGTAATCGAGTTCAGTGGAACTGGACAGGTCTGCCACTGAATCCTTACTACAAGAGAAATGATAATTCTGCAATGGCTGATGATGATCGATTTCTTGTTGAAACATATAAACCATAGTATTTCGGTGTAGATAATAGTGGAAATATTTTAAACAAAGGGAACATTTGTGGTCTCTGGAAACAGGCCAAAGCTGCTTTAGTTACAACTGATGGTTCGGTCGATACTTCAAGTGATCCAAACGAACAGGGATCAATTGTCAGTGAACTTCGTTATGCAGAAGCAGTTACTGCACTGGGTGCTTCTGAAAAAGGTGGCGCATTAGTATTGAAAATGTGAAACGATTTGTCTTCTTTATATAATATCTCTTTACTTCCAAGAACTATTTGTCACTAAACCGGCTACATCAAAAGTTGATGTTGCCGAAACATATATTGTTGCTCGTGGATTTCGTGATATTTCAAACGATGTTATTAAACATTTAGATTAGGGATGCACCGGTAACGGCTGACAACCGGTTACCGATCCAACCGCTTCTGTGAGTGATGTGAGTTTTTAAGTTAGTTTGAGTTAAACTGATTGTTCCATGTTAAAAAGTGTTTTTCTTCAACGTTATGTTGCTTAACAGAGAATTATGATAAAAGAAACATTTATTTTGTGCTTTGAATTTATAGCAAATATTTCTTTTGTTTTTCAAGGTGAGTTTATTGTTTTACGTGTTGACTATTTTATGAAACAAATTCTTAATATACAACTAATAATTTACTCTCCAAGAAGAAGTGATTCGAAAAAACATCCAATAAAAAATTTTGTATTAAAGGAGAAGGGGCAAAAAATAATATGCACATGTACAACTCCGACCGTAGCTTTTGCAATCGTCGCGGGTTGAAACCAGTAACGGTAACCGGTAAGATGCGGTTACCGTTACCGTTGCATCCCTAATTTAGATAATATTATTTCATTGTTAAGGACTGATAAAGGAAATCTTCTTGAAATTGTTTCTATCACTTGTTTATTAGAACGACAGTTTCAAATGTATTTGGCTGATTCAGCTCAAGAATTACTTAACCGAGAGATAGCAGCATTAAGAAAATTATTATGATGTTATGAAAATGATAAACTATCGTATATGCATATTGATAAATATCTATTCGATGACGCGAAATTTTTGAATAGTACACAGAGAACAGTAGTAGAACCGGATGAAGGTATTCAATTGCATGAGGGTTGGTCAAAGCAGTTTAGTGAAAGGTGACAACTATTTTATTATTTTAATTCTAGTACTAGAAAAACAATCTGAGAATCAGTTTGAAAACTCAAGGCTGAATAGATTTTCATTTTAATTATTGTATTTATTTATTTTTTATTCTCATGATTCGCTTTTATTTACTGTATTCTGGATATTTAAAACGAAAAAAAATATTTATAGCTTTATTCTATCAGAATACAAGCGGAAGAGTATTCCATTATAGTATTCTAAACTAAAACTATCGAAAAACACAAAATCAATTTTTGTACGAATAGAGATTCGAACATGTGAACTTAGCTTTGTAGTAAACTACAAAACTAAATTCACCGTTCTGTATCATAAAAAATATTTCCTGTTATAAAAGCAAATATGTAAGTGAAACATTTTCTTTTTCTTTTGCATCGTTGCTATAGTGTAAGGTATATTCCATTGCACTCGTTTTTCTGTTTACTTCCCAGACACGTCAATTAATTATTCAATCCACACAACTAGTATATCAGGTGAAGAGCAAATCTTTTTGTTTTTAAATAATTCAATGTCATTGTTAAAAGATAAAAATGAATAGAGAAAATGGCATTACACTACACTCTAAAACATAAGCGCCGTCTACCAAACCTTTTAAAGGGTTTAGTGAGTGAACTAAACCTCTTCAAAAATCTTCAAAGGTTTTCCAAAATGATAAACTCTCGAAAGATTTTGCAACGCCCTGCTGAAAAAATCGTTATAAATCATAAGGGTTTATAATCATTAAAATCTATAAGTTTTAGCAAAAATCTTTAGGGGTTTAGGAAATAACCTTTTGAGTTTTGTTGCAGTCCAATGTTCTACATTTTTCCCGTTTTGCGCAATGGGTGTTAGATCGCATACCCATTTGGAAAACTATAAAATGTGTTGTAAAATCGAATGAAATAAATTTATTAAAACGCAATTCCGTAATTACGAAAAGAATAAGCGAACAAACAGAAAGCGAGAGCAAGAAAACTTTATCAATTCATTTCTGCACAAGCAGCTTTTCATGTGCTGTTTTCTCACTGTACCTATGATTGACTGAGTAGCATGGTAGCTTCTCTGCGAAGCTGTTCGAGATTGATGTTTGTCAAGAAAAAACGATTAGTGTTCATTTTCTCGCTTTTCTAAAGGGGCTCTTGTAAGAGTATCCCATGCTCGTGCACAAACCACAAAACAGGAAGAAACAAAATAAGCAAGCAAACAGAACGAAAACAGCGACAACCCGTAGATATAGAACATCAGAGTGGAAAATAAAACAGGAAAGAACAATAACATAATAGTTGTCTGATTGACTGATGCATGTACTCAAGGATTCGGCGACATAATTTATCGGGCTTTCAGCTGGAAACCTATAGTTTTTTTGTAAGAACAGACTAGTCGGCCATGAGCAACTGTAAATTATAACAAAATATATTCTGTAAGTTTGAAAATAAAAAGACATCATCATCATCATCATCAACGTTCGGCCACGAACAATCGAGGCTTGTAGGCGACAACAATCTTGGAAAAATTCTCTCTGTTCGTGACAGCCTTTCTAATCTCATTGACCGATGGTGGCGTAGCGTTGTTAATTAGCCTCGCAATGTAATCGGGATAAAATAACAAGACCAAAAATGATTATTTGTAGAAATCAAATATAAAATATTGATGGCGAGTAGAAAACTCAGTTCTGTTGTACATAAAGTCATAATATGGAGAAAAAAATCTACGCGTTATATTGATGTATCGATAGAAAGTTATCTCTGAATTTAGTGTAATCGCGAGGAAGTATAATGTCTAGTTTTCAATGCAATGTCTTAACCATCGTAGATTACAATAAAGAGCAGCACCAACACGAATAGTGACGCAAAAAAAGAGTGACTTTACATAAGCTGCTTCAACTTGTATGGCAATTTATGATGGATAAAATGCGTATTGAAATATATCTATCATATTTTCTTTATTAAAAAATTTGAGAGAATGATAGAGTAACAATCAAAAACTGTTATGCGACGCGTTTCTGATTGTTATTCGCAGAAATAGAGAGAGATACGAGAACAGGTGTCTTAAATTAAGACTCTTTGAACCCAACTTATAACACGGAACGTTATAGTTAAATTTTTCTGTAGGACAAATGCTGGACGCGCACGTTCAGATGACGAGAGGGAGAGTTCGATGAGCTCAACTCTCTCTCTCCTTTTGAAAAAGAGGATGATGATGGGTGGTGGTGCTTTTCAGCTGTCAATCGTGATTGACTCGCCGACGCATCACTGCGACAATGATAATGATGATGCTGTCGTTGCGGTGTTAGAAAAGCTTGTTGTTGACTTTTTTCAGTAAAAACGTTTTATTAAAAGGAAAAAGTTCTTTGAAGTTCTAAAAATGTTCATTGTTCATTGATAGAGGCATTAGTGGTACCAAAAGTATCAAATTTTTCGGTATTTTCCGTGGTGCCGAACCGAAAGTACCGAACGATTCGATACCTAACAGGGCACCGAACCGAAATTTTGGGTACTGTGAGTCAACAGTACCGGTACCGAAGTACCGACAATTACCTGGTTCCTACGTTTTCTCGTTGTTTAATTACAGCATCATCTTCATAAAAATTTGACATTTTCGTCAGTCCATTCTTGAATCAAATGGCGAAAAGCAAATCACAAACCTTTTTTTAACCTGCTTAATCATACAATGGCATTGTATGATTAAGTAGTTAAAAAAAGGTGCCTCCGGGAGGCAAAGCTTGTGTTATTAAGTTATAGGAGTATTTCCTAACATCGTCGCAAAACTCTATAGATAGCTAATACACAACCTTTAAATTAGGGATGCACCGAGACGGGGTACTCGATACCCGAAACTTTAGTCTCGAGTAGTCTCGAGTCTCGAAAGTTTCGGTCTCGAATAGTCTCGAGTCTCGAAAGTTTCGGTCTCGAATAGTCTCTAGTCTCGAGTCTCGAAAGTTTCGGTCTCGACTAGTCTCGATATAAAAGTGCCGGTAGCAAAACTTTCCGAGACTTTTTCTAGACTATTTTTTTTGTTCTGTATAGAAGATTTCTTTGGTGAAATATGTACTGGACGTAATGTCGAAAGACATTTTTTT